TGTAGGGAAGGGATATTCTTTTAATGAAGAAAACAGAATGGACCATCTAATAAATCGGTTGTAAGAGAACATCTCTTAGGAAGACTTGGTGTCTATAACTGATGCTTTGTTTTTTTCAAAAATCGGTGTATTAAAGCAATTTGGACACAAGATCTACTTCATTTCCAGTGGGGCTTCCCAGTGTGCAAAGTTACCAGAAACAAGTTTCACCATGGTTATTTCTGAACAGTGCTCTCTGCATGAAAAAGCTTCGTATGAGATGACTGATTTTTTTTTACTACTCTCGCCTCCCTTTCTTCCCATCCCCTCCCCTTCCCCTGTTTATGAACAGTGACGGTCAGAGCGCACTTGACTGGTTGGCTGATGACTCTAAAGAAGACATTTGTGTTGGCACCCAGCTCAGTGCTGCGGATTATCGTCCTCATCACCAGTCTCATTGTGCTGCCTTACTTGGGGTAAATCATTCTCCTCTCCACAGAGCTGATGGGTTTGCTTTCCTCTTCATTCCTGTTTCCTGTTACTTAATAGCTGAATATGGGTAGCTCAGAACATTTTCCCCAAATACTAAGCATAATATAAAGCCTAAATAGTGTCAATATCTGGAAAAGAAACATTTACATGCAGTCTCTAGGCAGGCATGACAGTGATGTCCCTTTTGAAAAAGCAGGCAAATGTCAGAGAGGCAAACATGTATCCTATGGGGAATTTATTGCCATTCTATTAAATGCACTAATGGAAAGCTAATGGAAGAATATCTTTTTTATAAGTTAAATAATCTGTTCGACAGCACTCTGTACAAGACTTTTAAATTCTTAGTCCATAATTTGATTCAGAATGTGTTTCTTTTAACCAGTGAAGCCATAAAACCCCCAAAAAAGTCCTTTAAAATACCAGTTATTCTTTTTGCCAGTGTATTATATGTCTTTGAAAGAAGTATTTCTAACAACGGATTGATTCTGTATGGTGGTGGAAATATAATTATGAATCATGCATTCTCACACAACCATGACTGCTTTCTTTTTATGCCTCCCACAGAGTTCACGGAGCCACTCTTGGCGTAGGATCCCTTCTAGCTGGTTTTGTAGGAGAATCCACCATGGTTGCAATAGCAGCCTGTTACGTCTATCGGAAACAGGTAAGAATTAGGCTTTGCGGGATCTGGTGAAAGCAGTAGATGAATATAGTGGATTTTAGTTCAGATTAAGAGTACACTTTTGAAATGTAACTCCTCAGCATCCCCACTTAATGAACTTGTTTTGCTTCCCCATGCGGTCTCAAGAGCGTGCAACCTGGGAATTCTTTGGGTTGAAATAAAACCAAAAGGTGCCCTCCAGCTGCTAGTGGGTGTTCAGGCCATGGGACATGCTGATGTGAAGTAAACCTCTTGCTCCTCAAAACATGTGTATCATGGATATCATGTCCTTACCACCACCTGTTTTGCGCTGTAGATCTGCTACTACAGTACAACATAGCTTCTTTGTGTAGACATAGGAACCAATCATCCAAGCTTATTATATGTTTATGTATACATATACGTATTTGTATTTGTATATTTTTATTTCTTTTTAAAACCAGCTCTGCTGAAAATGGACAAAAAGTACAGTTGCTTATTTTTTTTGCCATCTAAAGAAGTGGCTTAAAACAAGATATACTCCTGCAGCAGCAGAGGATAAGAGCTTACAAATACTTAAACAGGCGAGGATTTCTCATAGGCATACTTTTACATATTTCACACACTACAATCCTGCATGTATGCAGTAGTAGTGGTACATGGATTTCAAAGAATATTCCACTAAATGAAGTCAAACACAGGATAAATATTGGCTGGGTGACTCAGTACATTGCAGTGCCTGCGTGTTGTGCCCTTCCAGTTATGTGTTCAAGGCACTGTGCGGGCACCAGGCCAACTCCAAGCAGAAATTGCATGGTGTGTACATCATTCCATGATGCAGAATGTACCCATCCCATCTGTGGATGGGAGCAGAAAATATAATGTGCCTTTACTTTTTTTTTTTTTAATTAGACTTCTTACTAAAGGCCAAGCAAAGATGCCCACTGCTTCTATTTTTAGCAAAAAAATACGGAAGATGGAATATCTGAAAGCCCTATGTTGGAACAAACTGAAACCGGCTTTGATATATATTAATATTGCAGGCCATGGCAGTAGACCAAAGTGTACAAGGTTCATAAGAAAACAGAAGACCTTGATCTCTGTCATGATTAGTCTGTCATGTTTTTCTTGAGCACCAAAGAGTAAAACCTGTAGACACTGAAATGGCTGTTCTTGGCCTGTGGTTTCACAACGTACATCTGGACTAACCTCCTCATCGCTTGTTTGTTACAGGAGTGGCTTGTAGAGCGTTTCTGGCCAGGAACATGGTTCTTAATTTTTTGCAGTGATGAGTGCAGGTGGTAGTAATAATAACTGTGCCAACCTAATGTATTCTCTTATCAGAATTAGTATGTAGCTGACAGCATTGTCTCAACAGCCAGTGCGACAGTGGCAGAGCCAACCGGTAGCTGTATACACCAACTTGTTCTCACCTACAGTGGTAATAAGTGGGCGGCATTTGAGCGCTGCAAATCAAGTGTTGTGTAGACACCTCTGAAATTTTGAAACTCTGATATGCCCAACTCAGCTGAATCAATAATACCTGTGGGGGATTTTTTGTCAGCGGTACAAGTGTTTTCTGTAAAACTAGTCAGCCTGCTGAGAAACGGATAATAGGGAACAGATGCTTCAACTTGTTTTGTAGCGGGGTTGAATGCTTCTTAGCTTTACTAATCCAGGACATCCTGGATGAATCATAGGACTCTTGAATGCCCTCCTGCTCCTGCTAGCCAAAAATACTCTAATGTTACTTGGCCTTGATGGCGTGGGGGCTCCCAGTGGATCAGCAATATCAAGAAAAGCCAGAATGCTCACATCTTGTAAAATTCCTGAAGTTTGACATTTCAGAAATTAGGTTGCCACCTCTGTCTCCCTCCCTAGAGCAGTTTATCTTCTCTCATATTGTGTTTGCTTTGCTTTTTTTTTTTTTTTAATAAAAAGTCTGTGATATAAAAGATTCCAGATGCTCTCTTCCCTCCAGTCATGCTGAAGCCTGATTTGGATGTTGTTTAGCATAAGAAATGCCTCTATTATTGCATTTGTGTTAGAAAGGAGAAAGCTGAGCCCCCGGAAGGTTATGGAAACCTTCTAAGTTAAGACACGTTACTAGTGGCAAGCCATGAATATGACACAAATATTCGAGCTCTTAATAACATTCTAAAAAAAAAAATTATTTGCACCTCACTTCTCCCAGTGCCAAAAGTTTGTAGGGCTGTGTTCACGCACAACTTACTGATAGGTTTCCAAATGCTTGTTTCAATCTAGAAGAAGAAGCGGAATGAGAATGAAGCAGCTGCAGAAGGTGAAGACTCTGCAATGACTGACATGCCTCACACGGAGGAAATGACAGACATCGTAGAAATGAGAGAAGAGAATGAATAATAAATGGGATGCAATTGTTCTCTGCAGGGACGATTGGAGTGACACTTCAGCATCTTGTCGTCTCTCATACTTTTTTGTTTGTTCATTTTTATTTTTGTAATAAAGAGGCCTTGATTTAAAAGGTTTCAGATAAATTCTCTAGCATACTGAGTATGCTCTCACTGATGAGGGACCTAAAAAGAGGTCTTTGCTTTTTTTTTTTTTTTTTTTCAATTGAATTTGTTTTCTCACTCCATGCAAACATAAAAGATACAATTGCATCCCTGTAGGGTTCTCCTTTTTCATCTTATGTATCCCAGTAAGCGCGGTCGAGCACATTACTCCTCGCACGACTGCAAGATGCAGTGGTGGCAAAGTCTGACCCTCCTCCCAAATGCTTTACGGATAGCAATCCAGTGGCTGGGGAAGGCAAAAAATTACTTTTATGCTCTCCCTGAAGGGGGACCAAAAAAAAGGTTTTTTTTTTTTTTTTTTTTTTTTTTCAATTGAATTTGTTTTCTCACTCCATGCAAACATAAAAGATACAATTGCATCACTGTAGAGTCTTCCTTACTTATGCATCCACCTTCTCTGGACAATCTGCATTTGTCAACCAAAGCCCTGCTCTCTGTGCGTGTGTGTGTGTGCGTGCGTGCGCTTGCACACGCACACGCACGTGTGCCACTGGCTCAATGCTACTGCCATAATCCTACTCCCTCCCCTCTTTCCTTTTCCTTCCTTTTCTTTATGAGAAATGTTAAGGAAAAGAAGTTTGGAATACAGAGCTTTATTTTACTTGCTTGGAAATTACTTTGCTACATAAACTAATATACTATGGTGAACTATATCTTTTTGTTTGGCCTCATCACTAGAGCTTATACTGCACAGGGTACAAAACAGGGAGGAACGTGTAAGTCTCCACATAGAGAGCGGAGAAAAACAGGTTCCTCTCTCCTGTTAAAAGTGTGTGGATGTGTATATACACACACAGGTACATAAATGGAGACATATATATATATACTTATATATATATGCATATGATAAAATACACATGGGACAAGAACTCTATTTAGCTTTCATTCCATCAGAAAGACAGTAATCTTTTGAAAAATGTAAACATTTAATTCAGAATTCTCTTGACCCGTTAAGCCCCATCTTACATATAATTTTCTTTAGAAAAAAAACCACATGCACTTTCCTCTTGTGAAGAGGGTGATGGCAACTGATAGACTTTGACTGTATTTGAAAAAAAAAAATAAATATTGACAAGCTTTACCAAAGTTCTTGTCCACTGATTTAACTTTAATTTTTAAAGGTTGATTTGCTCTATATACTTATTTCTGGTGCCTATATATTAAAAAAAAAAAAATTGGATAACGTATGCAGGATACCATGGTATATCACATCACTACACATAGCTCCATGAAATTTTTTATATAGAGATGTACACATACTCACACACACGTGTGTATATGTATATGTACTTATATACACACACACACACATATATGTATGTTTTGCTATAATATATTTACCTATGCAGTAGATCAAAATCTGTATGGTGAAGCTCAAGTACTGATGGTCCTCCAAGTCGTTAATTAGGGACCTTGATCGTATGTTAGCGCTCAAGGCGAGAGCTGGGTGGAAGCGGGGAGCTGCTCACATCAGTCAGCAAGCGCTGTACTTGGAGAAGGCGGCAGGCGCTGTGTGGTTGTGGTTGAAGTGGGCCTTAAATAACAGAGCGTGAGGTCGGGTGGGCAACTTGTATCGGGTGGAAATGAAGCCTATATAAGAGGTAACCAAACCAGAGAGGGTTTGGGTGCCACCGATGACGGCCGCAGCAGCGGCTTGTATTTCCGTGCTCTTCGGTGTTTGGCTGCAGGGCAGCGTTCGCTACCGGTTTGTAGTAGCTTGGGGTCTTTCAGCTTTGATCATGCCAGAGTCTGGAAACCATTATCCTCCATGCTATAGCCATAAATCAGCTAATTTAAACCTTATTTAGTAAAGGTATATTTTTCTAAGTTGTGGAAATGATTATTTAATTGTGGACAAATTCCATTTATAGGTTTATTTGCCAGGTAGTCCCAGCACTCAGAGAACTGATCAAAACTAAACATTACTTTAAATGTTATATCAATATATGTGTATGTAGACATACACATGTGTATAAGTATATATATATTGTATATTATGTACATTTATTTTAAGCTACAACACATTTCCTATTTTTCCAAGTTCAGCTAAAAATGTCTCTAAAAAAACTACAGAGTTGGCTAGAACAGGTTATGGCCATCATGAAAGGCATTGTATCAATGAACTTTACATTTTACTGTAAACATTTGTACCAATTTGTTACATGTACAAATGCAATAAGAAAAAAACGTAGAAATTATTGTGTTGAATGACAGATTTGCAAAATCATTTCATAGTTAATGAGCAGTGGCACTAAGAGGGTAAGACTAAATCCAGTAATCACACATTTTCTGTGCCACCACAAGGTTGTTCTCCTACTTTCTGACAGTAGTTTAAAAAAAAAGATTAAAAAGAAAAAAACCCTCAGACAAATTAACTTTGTGCAGTATGTAGACTGTACGCATTCATGAATACAAGCTCTCAAACAGTCATATGTATATAACGTGTGTATATAGACTGTTACAGATCACGGTGGCCATTTGAGGTCTTCTCTATTCATGTAGTTTCGGTTTCTCCAGTACATTTGTATCCAGGTCCGCAAGATGCAGTTTTTCAGGAACTGTAGAGATAAAGCAAGAAAATATTTTTGTGTAATATTTCTTTTGGTACATGACTAAAATTCAAATGGCAGTATTTCTGAAGAATTTCAAGCGTTACTGATGTAGGCTTCAAGGTAATAATTGCACCAAAAAGCCAAAAATTTGACAACAAATTAAATGAAACACTGAAGCTTTTGCTTTAGATAGAAGATGAACAAATATCAAAAACTGAATTATTGGTCATATAGAACTAAGTTAATGGTATTGTAAAAGATAAATTCTCAGTTGTGTGGGTAATACTTAATAGTCCTTTAGTTTGCGAGACACCGAACGAGCGCAGGAGCGGTGGGATCTGGGCAGGAACTCAAGCAGTGACATAAGGACGCATGCATCGCATCTCTGCCCTCTTCCTGCGGGTCGCCTATTTCTTTACATGGCTCTGCTGGGTTAACAAAACGCGCTGACGTTTCTGCAGCAAGTGAGTCCAAAGCAGCCCCTCGGGCAGCCCAGGCGCTCGCTGCGGGGGCGGGCAGGGGGCTCAGTGGGAAGGCGCGTGCCCGAGGAGCGCCCTGTCCCCAGCAGCCTCTGGTCCTGCTTCTGGGTAACGACGTCAGGAGCTGCCGCGACCACCTGAAACCTCACTGCCCCCGCTCCCGGCTGGCGGCAAATTCAGCCAGGCTGGTGAAGCAGCCGGTCCGATGGGTTACGGGCTGGGACCGGGCAGCTGTCCTCCTCAGCTGAAGCCCCAGTCAGAGCATTACTGGTCCCAGTGTCTCTGTCAGGCAGATGCTGGTGGATGTCGTGTCCTGCATCTCTTCCTTCCCAAAAGGACTTTCCTGAGTTCTAGTAAAATGACTTAGCTCTCTCTTTTGTGTTATTGCTTATGAAATTGCTGTCTATCTCTCTGATCAATATTTTCCAAGAGAAATTTGTTAGGATTCTGCTTCGGAGAGCCAGAGTGCAGTCAGCTCAGTGAATTCACATGGAGGTTTGGCCCTTCCAGACTTTCTTGAGAATTACTGAATTATACAATCGAAGTTACAATAAAAAGAGGAACAAAGTTGATTTGCATCCTACGTCTTAAATTTCAGACCATGGGAGAAGAGCTCACACAGCGGGAAATAAGAGCAGAACACCAATAAGCTGTGGATTAATGTTCCTCGGCTTTTAATACGTACGTAAAATTGTGTTAACTTGTCTTGAGTTTTTCTTTTACAGACTTAACAGGAAACACTGGGGATTTTTTCCCCCTCGCTGCCCTAAGCAGCCCTCTCATGCTTACCGAGCAGTGGACTTGATGGAAAAGGCTCTGCGTTTCCCAGCCAGTGCTTGAGGCCATTTGGGCGCAGCAGCGGGTTCCCAGGCGTGGGGCAGCCCCGCTCCCCGTCCCCCTTGCACAGCCGTTCCAGGCAGGAGCGCTGGGCTGCCTGCTTGTTAGATAGAGCCACCCTGAGTGAGAGGACTGGGTGAGTAACAGAGAAGTCTTTTGTTTTCTGCTCATTTTGCTGCTAAATATTTCCTTTGAGCGGGAGAGATTTATATCTGACTCTTGCTTGGTGTTTTGCCGAATCTGCAGCCAGAGAGGGAGCAGCCCGAGATGGAGGGTGAGCTGATGAATGCAGCCGATTCAGGGCAGGCCACGATGCGTGAACAGAAACCTTTTGAAGGCGAGAGCGCCTTCTTTTGTGGGATGGCGCCTCGCGCTTAAAAAGAAGGGAGAAAGGATGCTTTCAGGCGTGGGCACTCGGAGTCACCGGGCATAGTTTTGCATTGGGCTGCAAGGTGGCAACAGCAACGGGGTGTCCTGCGGCTCCAGCATCCCAGCCCTGCTGCCGGCATCCTCGGCAACATGCAGGACAGTGCAGGGGGTGGCAAGGCGGCAGTATCGGCTCCGTCTCTCGCTGAGATTTTGTGGTGGTGGCGTGATCAGCACAGATTTGAGTGCAGCTGGGAGTTGTCTGAGCATACTTGCAGTAGCCATTAGTGTCTTGGAGAGCCATGCATTTCTATATGGGCGTGTATATCAGAGTGTTGCGCAGGCATTTTTATTACAGCCTTTATATAGTTCATTGGAACAAGGATTCAAGTCTAAACATGATCTTAATGTGGGACTATACTAAGCTGTTTAAAAAGAATTGCAATTTGAAGCTACATAAAAGAGTAAATAAAGCACCCTTTCAGCAGACCTTACACCAGTAAGCTGAAGCATGATTTAGGTCAGTAAGCTGAAATGGGGGAGGAAGGGGAAATGTTGAAAAGCTTATGGGTATTGTATATCCATCCTAAAGACAACAGCATGGCGTGGAGATGAGTGGACCACAGGGCAGAAACCATCAGAGCTGTGGCTGCTGCCGTTTCCCTCTCGGCTGCCCTGGAGAAGGACTGAAGGGTGAGGAGCAATGCGT